GTGGGGAGGGGGTAGTGTGGTGAATAAGGGGGGGTGGGTGGGGTAGGGAATGGGGTCAGTGTGGGGAGTAAGGGGGAGAGGGTGGGGTGTATTTTGGGGATGGGGGAGAGTGTGGGGAGTGGGGGAGAGGATTGGGATGGGGAAAGTGGGTGGAGGAGAGGGGACGGAGAAGATGGGAGAACACGAGGGATGAGATCATGGAGGAAGGTTGAGGATGGTAGGAGGAGGGTTTCAGATAGAGTGTTGAAATGGGCTAGAGAGGGTGAGTAGAGAGGAGGGGCAGGGGTAAGATGTTTGACGGGTGTAGAGGTGGGTTTGGTGGTGAGGGTTTGAGAATGGAAAGGGTTTGAGAGGAGGGTTGGATGGGTTCATGGGTTTAGTTCAGATCTCCAGTGTCTGCAGTATTTTTCTTTCATTCTTGTCATCCTAGTCCCTCACCTCTCAACTGTCTGGTCTTTGGGAACATGTGGATGTATGGGCATCCTCAAACTGCTAATCCCAAATCCTTCCAGTTTCTTTATTTAATTTAAACTATGTGGTTGGGGGGTCGGGGGTGGAGTTCAAAATGAGCAAACAGTTTGGGCAGCCTTAGTTGTAACTATATTACGTTTTTTAAAAAGTTTGCACTGTGTTTCTTTGCAGATTCCTATGTTGATGAAAGCAACATCAGATGATGAAGTACCATGTCCTGGATATCTGTTTGAGGAGATTGCCAGTATCCTTGCCTAATGCATTCAGGATTTCTTCTGAGATTAACTATCTAGTGTGCCTTTGGGAAGCAAAATTGAATCCTTGCAACAAATTATTTTTGGTTCCAGTAAATTGCAAAATGTTGTCAAACTCATACATGCTGGAGAAACAACATGAATGGGCTGTTTCTGAATGGATAAAGTCATTGAATGACCCATCACCTTTCAGTTCTGTCCACTTCTGTCCACAACATATGTAATAAAATCCTTCCAGTCTGACTTCTACCTTTTCCTGAGCCAACGTCAGTGACCATGACCAAGATGTATTTTGTATTGTCTTCGAGCATCCTTTTGCAAAGTTAAACATAATTACAATTACAGTTGTGCTCATCAGCTCTCCATTGTCCAGTTCTGTTGCATTAACCTTCCACAATTCCACTCCCACCTATCCTGACACACTCACTATATTCCCAGCAATGCTTTCTGCTTCCTTTTCTACATAATAACGTCTAGAGTCATCAAAAATTGCACCTTGGTTTTGAGAGGTATTTCTATCACTTTAAGTATTGGATGAATTGTAACTTCCTGTTGAGAAGAAGAAAACATTGCTCTTGGCTATGAAAACACACTGCGCCATTGATGCTAATTCCATCACAGTCCTTGATCTCTTGTGCAGGCCAAACAAAGCCTTTTTGTCCTATTCAGTACTGAAAGCAGTTGTTCATAATCCAGTCTTAGCCAGATCATTTATTTTCATCACACCTTGTGTATTTTATCCCTGCTCTGAGACTTTCTGTCCATGATACTCCATACAATGGCTGAAATCCTTATCAGTTGTCATTTGAAACTGATTTATTCTAGTGCTCTCCTAGCTGGCATTGCTAAGCTGCCCACCCATGACTTTGACCTTTACTGGCTCCCTATCGCCAACACATTCAACTTTAAAATCCTTGTTTTGTTTTCTAATCCCTCCATTGGTCTCACTCCATCCTTCTCTGAAACCTCCTCAAGATTTCCTTACTTTCAGTTTCTCTTTTATCTACTAACACTAAGTTTAGTACATTCTCCCCGCAACCCAACCACTGCCACCTTTGTTTTATCACTAAAGACAGAGATTTTGACTTAAGGCCCCGCCCTGAAAATTGAATTCTAAGGTCTTTATTTCTTTACTTTTCTTTAAATTTTTTCAAATTGTGTCCTTTCGTGTGCAGCCTTTAATGGTTCCTGTTAAATTTTCTCTTCTAATTTGGTATTTTGGCTCCAAGTGCTTTGTAAAGTTCCTTGGGATGGCATCATTGCCGTTATTTACCCAACCCTGTAGTCTATGATAATCTAAGGATAAGAGCCATGATATTATCAAGCTGGAGCCACTGGTTTATTTTCTGCAGTGAGAAAATAATCAGTCTTTCATGGTTGATGTAAGTTTTCTGTGGACGGTGATGTTATTTCCTAACAGAATGAAATTGCAGAAATTTCTCATGAGTCTGTGGGATTGTGTCAGTGCCTTTTGGAGTACCTGCTGGAGCGTCTGCAGAGCAGCTCCTGTCATGTTAAACTTAAGGTGAGTGACACTCCTTTTGGCATCACATGTCCTTGGCCCAGTGTACTTTCTAATTTCTTAGTTCTACAGGGAAAACAATTTGTTCATCTTCACACTGTTTGACTGACAAAAATGAACACTTTTGGTGATCAGCATAGTCGGACAGTAATCAGCCAGCAACATCACATAACATTGGATAAGGGTGAGATGCTCATTACACGGAGTTTCTCATCTCTGTGGAGCACTTCTGCATAAAGAAGGATCCATGCCCCCACCAGTGTTGTTTAAAGGAATCGTGATCTATTTACAGGTTAATTGCTATGTATTTCTAGATGGTGGTGCATCTTTGAAATTTTCCTATATTTGACCGAAGTTGAAATCACCTACAGAAAGTGAGCTTGCAGTTTTTTTTGTTGGTGACTCAGTTGGCTGATAGCAACCTTCTCTATTGTTATGACTCTGAAATTTAAGAACTTACGCTGAAACAAGTTGATCTCAAATGGTGTGTGGCCGGGTAAGCTTCCTCTTGTAATTCAGGATGACTGTGAGAATAAAGAGAAACTACACAGATCAAGACAGGCTGCTGCAAGAAGGAGGGGGAGAAGGTCTCTCATTTGGTAAGTCATGTCCATCAATGTCTTTGAAGAGACACTTTATTACCACAACTTCAGTGTTGACTTATGCCCGAGCTATCTGAACTTTGCTAAGGAGGCCAGGACTGACGTCTGCAAATTTCTTTTTTTCATTCATGGGATATGGTCGTTAATGACTGGACCAGCATTTATTCACCATTCCTAATTGCCGAGAGGACAGTTAAGAGCCAACCACGTTGTTGAGAGTCTGGAGTCACATGTAGGCCAGGCCAGATAAGGATAGCAGATTTCCTTCCTAAAGGACATTAGTGATTATATGGGTTTTTCCTGACAATCTGCAATGGTTTCATGGTCATCATTAAACTCATATTTCCAGATTATTATTGAATTCAAATTCCACTGTCTGCCTGCAACCTCAGCTGCTACCACGCAGTAGGATAAAGAAGCATTGCTGTGGCTTTCACGGTGACTGTGGTTCTAAACTTTTATATTGGCAAGGCTGCTACTAGAGACATAAACAACATTTCATCTCATAGTTTGCATAAGGGTGGCACTTGGGTTCTTATGTCAAAGAAACTGCTTCATCCCATTCCCACTTGCTAAGGGCAAGCATGCTTAGCGAACCAGAGAGTTTACTTGGATTGGAGCCTTCCGTCTAGTGTAGGGTATTATTGATTTCATGAGCCTTGCTTTGCATAATGCTCATGAGGATTGCTTTCCTTCTGAACTGGAATGGATTCCACATCACTAGTGAGCAGTAGGCATATAATAGCAGGCAACGCATCATCCACACTAATTATCTTGGCTACAGTCATAGTTTCCTTATGCACAAGCACTCGGTATTTCAGCTGGCATGGTAAGTCAAAGACTAATGGGTGACAAAGTTACCAACTCATAACTTTATTCATGAAGCTAGTCTGGAACCCCCACCTCTTTGCATTGTAGGCATACAACAAGTCATGCTGCCACAGGAACGTGAAAGAAGATAACATCGATATCCTCATGCAGTACTTCTGCTTGGACCACTTTGGAGTAGCCCTGCACTACTTAGCTAGGTTGGTATCAAGATTAATGCTGATTTGCTGTATGCTACATATGTTGGTCATGATGAGAGAAGAGCCTTGTTCAGCACCTATCATTCAAGAAGCACCAGAACGAGAAGGAAATGATGGAAGATGCAACCCAGACTGCTCCTTTCTGTCTAGATCTGATAAAATAGTTCATGAGCGATCCTAATAATCTCAAACACACCTCCCATTTGTAAGTAAGGCCAAGCATTTGTAATATTAGGCCACCCCCAAAAAAGTCTGCATTATATATTACAGGAAGTATTGGCTGTGCAGTAATCATTTAAAACAGCAGGTGGCAAGCTGTTATGTGGTACAATGATTGAGCATTGACAGCTCTGCACCCTCTTTCAGGAGTTATTCAATTTAATCTCCACAATATTTTGAGAAACTACATAGCCTACTCTTCCAAGTCTCCCATCCATTTCTTTTTCCAAATCCTGAGATTAATAACCCTGTATTTCCTTTCCTTATAGGAATGAGTCTGAAATAACTCCAAAAAGGCCAGTATCCCATTACGAAGTCACCCTTTATTAACGCGTGCATAGTACATGACACTGACCAAGCTAGCACAGAGCCAGCTCCCAGACTGAGCAGAACTGACATTCCTGATTATATCTGTCAGCCAGGAGTCCCTGATTGGACTAAGTTAACAGCCCCAGTCTGCGTACTCCTATGAGGTTCACCTGGCTGAGATCTTTCCAATCACTATTTCCCTCTCCCTCTAATTCCTGGGACGTAGGCCCGTTCCCGTTCCTGGAGCTTCTCCTGGGGCAGTTTTGTACCAGGTCCGGTTCCTCTGACTCTGCCTCAGATACCGAGGCACATACTGGACCGTAGACTGTCTCCTGCGCCCAGAGCATTTTGGCCGAAACTCATCTTCAGGCGGTAACGTCATTGAGGCTGTGACATCTGTCGTGTCCATCTTGTCCGCAGAGGTTTCTTCGACACTAGGCTGGGTGGGTGAGGGGATTTGCCCACAGGTTCTGGCAGTCTTGCTGGATGTTCTGAGGGGTGGGTATGTTTTGTTCCTGCCTTGTTTGCGAGGTTATAGCTTTTATGTGGTCCACGTGCTTGTTCAGGATCACCTCTCCTACCTGAACTTGGCATGTCACGGGACCTGATCTCGTGTTGACCCTGCCCCTTACCCATGCAGGGCCATTCCCGTGGTTTCACCACCAAACCTCGTCTCCGGAAGTAAGTTGCCTCTCTCGCTTAGAGGAGCCTTGTGTCCGGCATTGGCGTTCCTAATGCCGTTTCACCACCCCCCAGCCCCAAATTCCAGAATGATCACATATCACAGTGCGAGTCTTCTCCCCATTAGCAACTTTGCTGGAGCTGTCTCTGTAGTTGTGCGAGAGGAGCAGGAACAGAAGCTGGGACAGTTTGGTATCTAGTGAAGCTATAGGCTGTTTCTTTTAGCCTGCCTTCAAAGTTTGGACTGTTCTTTTCACCAGATGGTATGGGGCTGTCCTTATGCCGAATGCCATTTGACTTTAGGAAATGCTCAAATTCCCTGCAGGTAAATGATGGCCCATTGTCTGTGACCAGTACCTGTGGAAGTCAGTGCATTGCAAAAGATGCTCGCAGTTTTTCTATCGTCGTCCTTATGTTTGACAAATTAACTCTGTGCATGTCCGTCCACTTTCAATGGGTGTCCACAATGACGAAAAACATAGAGCCCGTAAAAGAACCTGCATAGTCGATGCATAACTGAGTTTAGGGTTTACGCAGCCATTCCCGTGAATGTGGGGGAGCTGCTGGCAGTAATTTCTGTACTTGTTGGTGCTCTGTGCACTGCTTCACCAATGCACCTATGTTCACATCCAATCCTGGCCACCAGACACAAGTTCTGGCCAACATCTTCATTTTAGTTTTGATCTTTTTGTGTCAGCAGTGACTGGAAGGGTGTCCAGAAAGTTTAAAGCCAGAATAGCTTTTCCAGTGGCAGCACCAAGGTGATGTATCCGCCAGTGGGAGGCAACTCAACGCATCTGCATTTACTGCTTGGCTTCCCAGACAGTGTTTCAACCTGTGATTGTATGCACTCAGAATGAGATCCCATTGCTGAGTTTGACCTGAAGCTATGGGTGGCGGGACCCTGTCCTCTTTGCCCATTCTGCAGACTGTACTGGTTTGATGATTCTTTCACTTTCCAGCCTCCTGATTTCTGCCTCTACTTTTGCTCATAAGGCAAATGGTACTGGGTGGGCCTTGAAGAATCATGGAATTGCTTATTGGCCAACATGTAAGTTGGCCTTGGCCTTTTGATTGTCCCTAAACCTCCCTGAAAATCTTCCGGTATTTAGTTAGGACTTCACTAGGCAGCCATTTTCTAATCGAGAAATATTGAGCCAATCAATTTCGCCACATCAAGTTTGGACCTGAGCTTTTTACTAGAATCAATGATAACTGAACCAGCTGCTTCTTGTAAGAGACCGGAACCAAAGTTGTACCCTTAACCTGTAGTGTTTCTCAGCCTGGTCGAGGTCTTATGCGAATTTAAGGGTTGGAGTCCAGAGCGAATTTTGTTAAAGACTGTTCTACGATCACTGAAACAGTCGCACCGGCATCAACCTCTATTAGAACTGGGTGCCCATTTAACTAGACGTTTATTTTGATTGGTTTTGATTTGAATGCCCCTAATCAGTTTAACTGTTCCAAACCAGCTGTAGTGGACTTTCCAGGGTGTGCACTCTCATGGATACCGGCCTAAGAGTTCTCTCACTGAATTCAGTCCAAGTGGGACTCTTGCTGTCTCGAGAATGCATACCAGCAGCAATTACAATGGTCCGCCGGCCCAGATCCTTAGAAAAATTTTAACTGTTTGGCTGAGGCTTGGCTTTGTTTTTGGGTTTTGCTGTGGGCTGACCTGAGGTCCCTCTGTTCAGGACATGTCCTGATTGTTTCTATGCAATTGCTTTCATACAAGTGGTGTTACCCAAGCTCAGTCAGCCTGGCGAGGATGTCCACTTCCCCTGGGATACCCAGTAACTCATACGTTCCACATGCCACATTTTCTAACAACAAAACCAGTTGTAGTGCCTGTTTGAACTCCAGTTTGGTTTCTGCTAGTAGTTGCTTTTGCATGGTCACATCATTAATCCCAGGTACCAAACAGTCTCTTAACATCTCATTAAGAGTTAAATCACACGCTTCTGCCTTAACCTCATCAAAAATCCCAGTATGGATTCTCCTGATTTTCGATCTTTCGAGTAAAACCAATAGCATCTCAGAATTAAGGGAGTCTTGGGGTCGTATTATTCCTTAGCTAAATCCATCAATTCTTAAAAAGGTTTTAGTATCTGGTGCCTCAGGGAAAGTTGGGTCCCTACTAACTGGAAAAGCTGAGGGTCCACAAGTTGTCAGGCAAATTACTCGTTGCTTTTCATCTGCCCCAGAATTATTTGCCTGGACAAAAAATGCATTCCGACCAAGCTGATTACCAAGCAGCTACCTACTGGAATCTCATTTTTCAGCATTTGGCTTATGGTCACGTACGCATTGGCATTTTAAGTGTTTACCTAAAAGCTTCATTGTAGTGATGGCTCCTGCCTCTACCACCACTTGAGGCAATTAATTCTAGATCCTTGCCACCATTTGGATAAAAATGTTTTTCCTTGAATTCCCCCTAAACCTTCTGCCCCATAAATTAAATCTGTACCCCATGATTATTGACCCCTCTATTAAGGCAAAAGTTTCTTTCCATCTATCCTGTCTCTGCCTCCATAATTTTGTACATCTCAGTCAGGTGCCCCCTCAACCTTCTCTGCTCTAAGGAAAAGAATCTGAACCTATCTAGTCTCTCTTCATAACTGAAACACTATAGCCCAGGCAACACCCTGGTGAATTTCCACTGCACCTTGTCTCGTGCAGTAACATCCTTTCTGTAGTGTAACAACCAGAACTGCACACAATCACTGGCCGTTGCCTATCTAATGTTTTATACAGCTCCATCACAACCTCCCCACTCTTGTATTCTATAAATTGACTAATAAAGGAAAAGAGCCCACATGACTTCTTAACAGGTAGCTCAGTGGTTAGCACTGCTGCCTCACAGCGCCAGGAACCCTGGTTCAATTCCACCCTCGGGCGACTGTCTGTGTGGAGTTTGCACATTCTCCCCGTGTCTGTGTGGATTTCCTTCGGGTGCTGTGGTTTCCTCCTGCAGTCCAAAGATGTGCAGGCTAGGTGGATTGGCCATGCTAAATTGCTGATAGTGTTCAGGGATGGGTAGATTAGGTGGGTTATAGGGGGATGGGTCCGGGTGGGATGCTCTGAGGGTTGGTGTGGACTTGTTGGGCCAAAAGGATTCTCTGATCTTCTGTGAACTATGATCTACATGTCTTGCTGCTTTCAAGGATCTACGGATATGGACAACAAGGTCCCTTTGATCCTCTGTACTCCCTAGGATCCTACTATTCATTGCGTATTTCCTTACTTTCTTAGTCCCCAAAAATGCATCACTTCACACTTTCCTAGTTTAAATTCCATTTACTACTTTTCTGCCCATCTGACAAATCCGTCTTTATTGTCCTGTAGTCTGAGACATTCCTCCTCACTATTTTGCATACCACTGATTTCTCATGTTATTTACAAATTTACTGCCTATACCTGCTACATTCCTGTCCTGCCTACCAGCTGTTGGCACTTGATAAGTAATCAAAGTTCTTATCCCTTTTCCTTGATTTTATTTATCTGTTATTTTTAAATGGTACAATATGTTTAACTCATTTGTTCTGGAATATCTGCATTCCTCCAATTCTGGCCTCTTGTGAGTCCTGATTTCTATCATTACATCATTGGTGGCCTGGTCTGCATTTGCCTAAATATTTCTGAAATTTCTTGCTAACCTCTCTGCCTCTTAACTTCTCCTCTGTACTTATATGATGTTCTGAAAATATACCTCTTTGATCAGGGGCTTTGGTTATTTTTGTTGATTTATGCTTCTGTGGTTTGGTGTAAAATAAAATTAGAAATGTAAAGTGCTTTGGAAGATTTTACTTTGTTAACGGCACTCTGTAAATGTAAATTGTTGTTTTTGGATCAACAAAACAAGAAATTGCTGTATGTACATTTTGTGTACCTTCTGTGAAGTGGATAATGGATTGAGGAATATTTAATTTGTATGCTGCATCTTCTTTTGAATGTTTGGAACGTTGTTTGAATTGGATACTTCAACCTGAAAATCTGGTAGATCACTTTTGGTAGCCCTTGGGTTTAAAATTTATGAAAGGTGTAAATTTTAGTGCTATTTTGTTTAAAGTATTGCCAATAGAATAGCACCGTTGAAAATTAGAAAGCAATATCATGAAGCAAAGGAAATATGCAGTTCCCAGTGAGAGCCAAAGGAAATAAGAATCTTGACTTTTAGAAATCTCTCTGGAATTTTTATTCCATGTTTATCTGATAAATACAATTGAGGAGGAGCTGATAAATAAACCAATTTCGAAATTCTTGCAAGACAGTACTATGAAGTGTAGAAGTTTTGTTTTAAATTGGCCCTGTGTTGACTCACATACAGTGCACTACCTGACTGAGATGTGTCATAATTTGGCTGCTTGTATAAAAGCCAGACAGGGTGTTAATCTCAAATAAAAATAAAGGTTATATTCTTGCTGGCTCGTGGCCGTTTCAGTTGCAAAGTGAAAATTATACAAAAGGTTCTATTGTGCTATGTTAGACACTTCCTGGCTTCTGTTCAGAAAGCAGTCAGCTCTATTTTTGTGCTTATTGATAGGTTCTCAAGATATTGCGGCATGTCTGTAATCATGGCTCACCTCAATTTACCCTGGAGCTTCGGAGGAATGCTACTCTTATTCAAGAGGTGACAGGTAGGAGTTAATAATAGTTGGTAAGCTGATATTTGATTTATTGTCATATACTGAGATACAGTGAAAAGTATTGTTTTGGGTGCTAACCAGCCAAATCATACATTACGTAAGTACACCATGGTAATAGAACAGAATGCAGAGATAGTGCAGGGAAAGATCAACTCGAGTATATGAGAGGTGCATTCATAAGTCTGAAAGTGTGGAAGAAGCTGTTCTTGAATCTGTTGGTACATGTTGTCAAAATTCTGTATCTTTTGCCCAATGGAAGAGGGAGGAAGGGAATATAACTGGGTGGGAGGAAGAGAATATAACTGGGTGGGAGGAATCTTTGATTATGTTGTCTGCTTTCCCCAAGGCAGCAGGAAATGTAAACGGAGTCAATATAATCTAATGTCCATTATATAGTATGTAACAAAAGAGAGTGATTTCTTTATCTTTAGTACATAAGGCAGGTGGTAGCAGATTCGCCAGTTGTCGTTCAACCCATTGGATTTTAAAGGGATATCAGGAAGATTGTAGAATAGGTGATCATTCCACTTCCATCTGTTTTACTTCCCTGCTGAATTTCCACGTGGTAGTTTCTAAAAGTAAATGCAAGCTATTAGGGTTTCCTGTTTTATAGTTGTCACTAAACGTGCATTTCCCCACACAGTAAATGCAGTGCCGCCAGTTTGTCGTGACCTTCTCAGTTGGGAGGTCAGTAACAACCAGTATGAATTATTTTCTCTCAATTAATCAAAGAAAATTGCTTATTCTCATTCAGGTAATTTCTTTAACTGTCCCTCCCAAAATGAAGGATAGTCTATGTTGTATAGTCTTCATACTTGGTTGATTGAATTCTGTGTTGAGTTAAGAAAGCCCAAGTTGATTAATTTATTTGAGAATTGAAGTATTTTGATATAATATTCAAGCAACCTGGTGATTTATATCATTTATAAGGAATATCATGGAACTGGAACGTACTCCCATCTAATTTGAAGGGTACTCTGGGATGACTCCGTGCTGGATCATTCATTATATTTACATTTTATTATGGAGTTAATCATATTAAAGTACTTTGCGAGCCGTGAAATTTCAGTATATCTATTTGTGAATTTTCATTTAGTACTGCCTCATCTTGTCACACAGTGTCATTGATCATTGTCTTCAGATCACCAACGGCACACAGGACCAAACATTATAGCACGGTGATCAGTTGTAAGAGTGTAGCAAAAGGTGGTAAATGAAACAAATTTTGTACAATCAGAACCTGTTGTCACTTTATCACACACATTAAGCAACTCTTTTGTCAAATATACCAGATTAGGTTTTCTCAACTTTTCTTATGAGACACTTCTTTCTTGTTATAAAAATTCCCTGGAGTTCTCATAACAGTTCTTTTTTGGTAGGAAAGTTAATTAGTCAATGAATCATAAACTTATTATTTAATTTGTTAATTATTACTTTATTATCGTTATATGTGAAATCTGAATCTGCTGAGCAATAATATCAAAAAGTGAAGGTATCTTTAGCAAACAATTACTCATCACGGGTCACTGTTTATCATGGCTCAGTATTTCCCTTTCATTGATCTCACTGCTGAAAATCCAGTTTTGCATAGGTAGGGAGATGAGACTGAGCATTTTTAATGCAAATGAAGCAGTAGCTATTATTTAGTTTACCCATGATCATCGTGATTATAGTTCATTTGCTGTCTGCAAACATGCACTTTCCAAAAGGGTCAGTGAATGGTAATTATGGATAGGAAGCCTAGATAATTTTATTTGCCTTGCCAGCATATATTGGAAGCACAGCATTGTTTGAACCTGGCTGGTTAACATTATGTAGCCTGGATACTAACGGCCACTTTTGTATGAGTGTCACACTGGGTTTGTATATTACCCAGTAATTCTCCTGGAAAAGCTATATCGTTGCTTTGTAACTATATGTATTGCAAAACACAGAAGGCCAGTGCAGACTGACACATAACAGGATGTAGTACAGCTACAGCTTGTAGTCAGCACAGATTGGTTTTGATTTTTGTTGCTCTAATTATGTCATGTACAGTCTAGACTTGTTCAAAGCTATTGTTGTGGATACCCTATCAAGCCAGGACCTCTTCCACATCCTCCATTGTTTGTACATTGTAGATGTGCTTTGTTTTTCCCTTTTGGTATATTTTATAGGTAGTCAACTGCTTTTTAACGGGCACATGTCAAAGCAAATAAAAACTCAGTAAACATGCTTGTGTTCGTGAGGCAGGTGAAAGTGAAAGAGAAAATCCAATGAGAAAAAGAATATGAAAAGAACAATGGATTTGGCGGCAGTGGTGGGGGGGGAGAAGAAACAAATAACTGGGTTAGACTTTGGGGAAATGAGCTCTAAAGCCGATTGATAGATGAAATATGGGTTGTTTCTCTTGTTTTGCATGCTGAATTTTATTTTCTTGGAATGGTAAATTTGAGAGAAAGATGTGCCTGAAACTGAAAGAATATCAATGGTTATGAAATTATGGAATTTGTGATTAAAGATGATTCAACATAGAAATTAAATGCATGGAAACAATGAATATAAAGTGAGGGAAAGGGAAAAAATGTTTTATTTAAAATGAATACAGTTGTAAAAAGTTTCTCCCAGGTCTTGGATACTATGTGCTGGGAGATGATTTATCATGGCCTGCAATTAAATCTCCTCCTTGTGTCGAAAGCAGTTGGTCTCAGCTTAACATCTTCCCGATGCTGAGATCATGAGCTTGGAGTATTTGATTTGAATTATTTATTGTCACGTGTATCTTGTTACAAAATAAAGTGAAAAGTGTTGTATAGGGTCGCCACTCTCTGGCATTATTGTAAAACACAGAAAAATAAAGCAAAACATAGAATATAAAGGACAAAAAATGAAGAAATAAAGGAAGTGGCCAAGTTTACAATCTTTCTTGTTAAGTGCTTCATCATGGGCCATGAGCCTGGTGGCTCCTTCGCTGTGCTGCTGGAACAAAAGTTGCCACTTTTTGGTGCCTTTCGCTTCCACCAATGCCCTTGCCGGACCTCGCCAATGCAGGTGCCACTGAAGCTGCTGAATACCGAAAGGGCCCAAACTTGACTCTGCCACCAGGAATCTGCATCTGAAGTAGCCAGGATATTGCATACTGTTGTATTTTGTCACACTTGGCTTCTGTTTATAAAAATTGAAAGAAAGGTCAATGTTGTTTTTATTTTGGAAGAAAGGCCTCTTACAGTGGAACTAATACAGGTAAAACAGATAGATTCTTGATCAGTCGGGGAATCAAATGTTATGGGGAAAAGGGCTGGAAAGTGGACTTGAGAGGAATGTCAGATCTGCTGTGATCCTATTGAATAGCAGAGCAGGCTCGAGGGGCTGAATAGCCTTCTCCTGTTCCTTTTTTTTTAGAGTCCCTACAGTGTGGAAACAGGCCCTTCGGCCCAACAAGTCCAGACCGAACCTTGGAGCATCCCATCCAGACCCATCCCCTTATAACGCACCTAAGCTACACATCCCTGAACACTACGGGCAATTTAGCATGGCCAATCCACCTAACGTGCACATCTTTAGACTGTGGGAGGAAGCCAGAGTGCTTGGAGGAAACCCACGCAGACACGGGGAGAATGTGCAAATTCCACACAGACAGTCGCTCGAGGATGGATTGAACCTGGGTCCCTGATGCTGTGAGGCTGCAGTGCTAACCGCTGAGCCACCGTGCCGCCAAGTATTTTGTATGGTCTAAAATTGCTTGGTCACTTATTCAGCTTCCAGGGATCGTGACTAAAAAAAAGTTGAAATTTGGGTGGAGTTGTTCTAAAAGTGAACCATACTAAATAAACTGTTAAAGCGCTCACTTTCTGAGACTAAACAAGGCTGTTTGTGATCTTTGTGTCCTACTTGGCCCTAAGATGACATCTACAGCACTTCCAGATTGTTGCTCCCTAAACTTTAGGTTATCCAAAACTCTGCTGCCATGCGTGAAAGGCCTGGACATGTTTCTGTATGGAAGAGAGAATAGGATACGAGGACATGGCCTCAGAGTGAAGGCATGATCCTGTAGAAGTGAGATGAGGATGAATTCTTGTCTGTCAGAGAGTGTACCAATATGCAAGACTGCCTTTTGAGGTATCATCAGCTTGTGCCATTTTTCAGTGGATGATGGAGAGCAAGGTCTATCCTAGGTCACCATTTATCTAATGACAGGGAAGACCAATAAGAGCATTTAGAGAACTTGGACATAATGCATAAACTTTTCTATTATGTGGGGATATGTGTCAGGAGGAAAAACTGTATTCCAGGCACCCCAAGTGACCTACTTGGGCTACAGAGTCACTAGACTGGTTATTGAAGGATAAAGTAAGGGAAATCTAAGGTGCTTCGGCTCCCACGTCTGTACTGGAGCTTAGGTCTATCCTTGAACTGGTGAATTATTACTGAAAATTCATATGTTACTTGGCCTCCATTCTGGCACCCTTACATCTGCTGTTGTGAAATGGTCAGCTTGGAAATGGTCTCATAGCCAAGATGTGGCTTTTAGGGAAGTGAAGAAGTAGCTGTCGCCACCTGTGGTGTTGCATACTATGAGCCCAAGCGAGATGTGGTGCTGACATATGATGCTTCTCTATACAGTTTCTTGGTAGTGTTGGCGCATCGATGGCTCAATGGAGAGGAATGCCCGATAGCATATTCTTCACGGACTTTGGCTGATACCAAATGAAGATACACCCAGATAGGGAAGGAAGGATTGGCTGTCATCTTTGGTGTGAAAAAGTTCCACCAGTACCTTTATGGACATAAATTTATAGTAGTAGCAGACCACAAACCCCTGCAATGGCAACATAAAGAGGATAGGGCTGTGCCACCCACTGCTTCAGGTTGAATTTAGCAGTGGGCTCTTATTCTGAGTACGTAAATTACAATGTGGATGCGTTGAGCTGCCTCCCGCTGGCAGATACACCACCGGTGGTACCGCCACTAGAAGAGTCCGTTATAGTTTTAAATTTTCTAGACACCCTTCC